AAATGTTTGAGATTTTGATTTACATGTTGTCTTTTTTTTGTAGTAAGCTATATTTTCCTAAAAAATAGTATACAGGAAAAGTAGCCAAAATTTGCTAAAATATCCCTTCCGTTAAGTACCTCAAACTAAAATATGTATTAATTTTTGAGGTAAAACATATACTTTGATATATATTAAAATGATAAATACTTATGCGCATTTAATTAATAAATTTTTGATTTATTCTTATATTTTCAGCAGCTCACCATGTAATTGTCAGAATGGAACACTTTACTGACACTTTTGATCCACTAATAGCACAACATTAGAGCCTAGTGCTTGCCCCTAATTTTCAGCTGCTTGGATTTTTTGCTCTTTAGCGTGGTTAATTTTCAATTGACGTAAGTGTGTATTGGTATAGTAAGTTTCAATATTTAATAGTTATTATATGAAAATGATTAAAATACGATTAGTAGAAACCCATTTGATATAGTAATTTTTTATGAAAAGCATTACCGTCATGCATAGCGTTCTTAGCAGATAGCCGCGAATTTTTGGGTATTTTCTTGGCTTATTGCTTATAATGTCCTGTTCTTAGGTGTTTTTCAGTAGTTCTAGCGCTATTTGGTAATGTTTAATTTTCTTTTCCCTGAGCGAGGCATCTGGAGCGGAATTCTTATTGTTAGTTCATTCGCTGTTTCATTTCCACATATATCCCTAGGCTCTGGTTCTCACATTTGTTGAATTTCAAAACGATAAAAAATTTAGGATATTTCCCGCCAACAGTTTTTCACCATCTTCGACTTAATCGATGATGAGGTGCATGTCTGAATTTCCGCCTGGCTATCTGCATCTGGGGTATTTTATGTAACTTTCTACCTTTTTTAATTGAAAATGATTCCGGTGTTGCTCTTGATCTCACCACCACTTTACATCGCTAGGTGAGGGGAGGTCTTTAAGACCAATTGCTGGCTTAAAAGAAATGTTCGTTGGTATGATTTTAAGTGGGGCGAGGCGGACACAGTTCGAGGCGCTAATGCATTTTCATTTCACCTCAATACTATGCCTGTTCTGGACTTCTTCGGTATCATTTCGGTACTAGCTCGGAGCTAGTTTGGTACTAGTTAAGAACTATTTTTGGGTCTAGTTCGGGTACAGTTCGGTTATTTTTTTTTCGGAATTATTTCAAGAATAGTTTGGGTTTATTTCAGAACTATTTCGAAAATTTCGACTTTTTAATGAAAAAAATTCAAATAAAAACAACTAGTAAGCACATATCGCTCATTTACTTCATTAGTGTCATAATTCAAAAAAGCAACACACGAGTTGAACGGCTTTAAAGTTTTGAATTTAGATATACTCTGCATACTTCCCCGCAAACATATTCTGAGCGTTCAGATTATATGTGATCCAGAAGGAGTCCTTGGTGGGTATGATATATATGTTTCAAAAACAATAAATGTGTGACTCTTTTAGGAGTCATATATGAGCCAAGTTATGAGCCACCAACAGAAAAAAATTAAAAAAAAAAATGTTTGCAAACATTATGCGAAATTCAAAATTTCACAATTTTTCCTGTTTTCATGTTACCGTTTGCGCAGGGTTCTCATAAATAAATACTTATTTAAATCAACGTAAATATGTATATGCGTATTAAAATAACAAAAAATAGCTTTCTTGGTCATTGTTTTTTTTTTTTTTGGAGTGTGTGCCTTTGTGATGATTATAAATGAGCCACACATATATACATATATGCACATCTTTCAATTCGATTGCCATTTGCATTGAATGCAATTATTTTAATGGAAATTTTATTATTTTTGTTTCCAGGTAAGCATGAAAATGCGTGTGCACAAACCCTTTGCAGTAAATACAAATACTATGTATGTATGTATTTAGGTATGGCGGTGCATTCATATGTAAATCTTTACAAAAAGCTATAAATTCTGAAATATGAATTATTGTCGACACTAAATGCTCTATTGTCTTTTTAAGTATTCATTTACACGGTGCATTAACGATATTTCACACATGCTTGCACACGCTGGCATTAAATGCATTGGCCACGTATCATAGCCTACTTTTAGGCATTGGTTATGATGAATTTACAAATGTATTTATTTTTTGTTGTTTACTTATTTGAACTCGCTCGCCACGGCTGTACACAAAAAGTTTATTTGCCTACATTTGGATTAATTGCTTGTGGCTATACAATTTTAAATGCTGCAATACAATGGTATTAAATGTATGTATATTTTTCTTGATTGCTTTTGGCTGTTAATTTATTGTCTGTAAATTGTTTTCTATTATGCGGAGATATTTTTGTTTTTATTTTAATTTTAAATTTTAAATTGTCACTACAGTGGGATTATATTATTGCACACGAATACTACCTGCGATTAAAATGCAGAGCTGCATTGTTTTCATTTGAAAGTGAACAAATTTATTACGAAGAATTACAAAAAAAACGTTAACCTTAAAACGGGTCAACATTTAATGTATTCTAGGGACGAGCCTGTCGACCGATAGGAGCTTTAAACGGGCCATATAATTCATAATTCGATTCGCAAAAACATACAGTGAGTCAAACAAGTGTTCTCGTGTTGATTTTTTTAATAATTTAACTTTAATAGCAAGCAATTTTTTTTTTTAAATACTATAATTTTTTATTTTTTTAAAAAAACAACTCTTTTTTTGAACCACTCTAGTAGACGTGCGTTAAATGCGCTTGCAAGGAGATACGTCACCAATTTCGTATGTGTGCCAGGCCATAGAGTTTTACCGGGCAACTGTGTTGCGAATGAACTGGAAAGGAAAGGCACCTTACTCTCAGCAATCTGTCCAATCTTCCTGCAAACACTGGCTGAAGAATAAATTTATAAAACGAGCAAATACAAAATGGCCAGTTGAACCCACGTGCAGGACTGCTAGGCATATTTGGCCTAGGTTGGATAAGCGTAGATGTAACCCTCTGCTTCGCTTGGGTCGGGCCACTGCTCCAGCATTTAATTGGAGTTCTCACACTGGGCAATGCGTAAAGGGAACCCAAGGATGTCGTAGCTACTAGTACTACTGTCGTAGCTGCCGTGGTAAGGAGGAAATCTGCACATCGTGTCTCCACTATTTATTCCATTGAATGTTTGAATGAACTTGATTCAGCTAGCATCTACGATTCCGTGCGCTTCTTTAGGGCTACAATTTTGTTTTACTTCTAAGGTATGAGAAGGGATGTAAGGAGTCTCTAATACGGCATCACGATTGGCCCACAGTGGCTTATATTGGCTAGATATAGTCAAGATAAGCTAACCTAATCTAATCTTTGCCTTTACGTTTTGCCAACGCTGAGAATACCTTCCCCTTCCTCTTATACCAGCATCGCGATCCGCGCTGTATACTTTCAGAGCTGAATCCTTTCAGTTCATTCGTATGACATGGTGAAGCCAGCGAAGTCTCTGTATTTTAATCTGCCGTATTATTTATGTTCATATTATTATATCGGAGCTCATATCGCTCATTTTTTCATCGTCTCACAGTGCTTCCCTTCCATATAAAATGCGGGCAAAAATAGAATTAGGGACGGATTTAAATGAAAATTCGCGTCTTAGTAAAATTGAGGACGATAAATTCAAAAAAATGCAATTGGTTTTTGGATAACTTTCATACCTTCACTGTAAATGTTTGAAGTTGAAAATTTGGGTTCTTGTGGCTTTTACATACATAGGTATGTACATATAGTTCGCTCTATTTTCAAAGGTGAGGTGTCAAATTACAGGGCTTGGCCTGTAGATGTGCAATAAAGTTTTTTATTTTTGAAAAGGGTTGCCACCTGTTACAAATTTTATTAAAATTATTTTATTTATTAATTAGATATTACAATATGGGTATCAATTGAACTAGTTTTGAAAATACTTTACCTCTAAATGACACGTAGAAGGGTTGTCAGTAGAGGTAGAAGGGTTGTAGTAAAATAATAAAAAATAACCGATTTTAACATATATTTTTTATTCATTCCATTAAAATTTAGCATTTTTTGAAATTTTGTTTTTTTTTTTGGAACACCGCAGGGACACCCTGTCTTTAATTTTATTCCAAAATTTTAATTCCTGTAATTCTCTACCATCTATATGGAAACTACAAACGTCAAACCAACATTTTATTTCAAAGAATATATTTTTGATTTTTTTTTCTGTGAAGAGCTTACGCCTGGCTATGCTTTTATTAAAATTCTTAGTATAGAAGTTGTCGACTTTAGTGGCTTCCTGGCGGCATATAATTAATTTTCGAGGGAAATGTCTGTTTAATTATTGTTAGTAGATAAATTGTCTTTACAAAAATACCAAACAAGTTCACATTACAGATAATGAATTTTTTGATTTATGCCTACTTAGGCGGCACTGTGCGGTGGGATGAAAAAATTTCGGTTGAATTTGTTTTCAGGCGAAACTAAGGATCGATTATATTTCCTGCAGGCCATCTACAAGATACATAACTATGGGTGGCTGGTAAAATTCACATCTACGAAATTGCGCTGTATTGAAACGCTTGTCTCCAATACGCTTTATTAAAATTTCAGTGTAATTTTATAGTAAATTTAATTAACGCCCCATTGGCTTTTATTTAACTTAAAAATCCTATGTAAGTTGCCCCATCAAAATTTGCATTTATGCGCAGATCGATGTAAAAGCTCTGAGTTAAGAAAGAGTTGATTTTTTTTCTATAACACCATTTAAAGCAACTTTTTGTAAATAAATAAATAAATATAAAGGTATTGCGCATTTGAGATTATAATCAGCAGAATACTAATAAGCAATGCCCCCTTGCATGGTTCCTTGGATTCATGTTTGTTTAAGCCTTTGTATACTTTTCCAAAAGAAAAACTTTATACGATACCCAGAATTCTTCCTGCAGGCTGTAGCTTCTCGAAAATAGTAGCAGTTCTTCAAGCGATTTATAAAACACAAACATGGCAAACACACATCTCCGATAACCCATTCAAATATCTAAAACTTATATTTAATAGGACATTTTTTTTTATTGTGTTTTATATGTACAATAATACTTCAAATAGTTCCGACAATTCCTTATCGGCCAACCAATTGAACAGCTTTAAGCGACTGGTGCGAAACCAATACGGCTATTGCCCAAATCGAATTCGGTGTAGTAGAGACCAATGAAGATATCACCCAAGATCCAGAAATTGGTACCCATGTAGCTAACGGCTGGTGAGCACTCACCGGCGTCATTGAGAATATATTGCGAAGCTGGCACCAAGAAACTGTTGCCACCAATAACGAACACCATATCGGGCAGCGAGTCGATAAGTGAGCAATCGACCACTCCATCATAGTCGGGATCAACAACACTCATGAAGACAGAGTAAGCATTGTAGGGTGCAACGATGAGGGAGGTGCCCGTATCGGCGATGGCTTGGCAACCTTCACCGCACATAGTTTGTCCACCAATGGTGGCGCCACCCAAGCTGAATTGCCAGTAGCCTTGCTGAGAGATGGGTACATAAGTGAGTCCACCTTGGTAGTAGCTGGGATCAGAACCGCCCAAGATCATTTCACCACCCTGGTCGGAGGTACCTTCACGCGCCAGGTAGAAGGAGAACACGTCGTTGTTCACCAGACCTTGATTCCAGATGTTGTAGAAGGGCGGCACAACATTGTCCACGGCGATCGATTGGAATGCCATACCCATGATACCATCAAAGTTCGAGTTTACGAAGCTAGTGCCGGGTTCTTGTATAGCTTCAGCAAATACTTGGTTTTGAATGGTGAGACCAGCAACGCTTACTGTGTCCTGCGACAAGAAACCACTCAAACTGCCGCTTCCATATTGAATGGAGAAGCTTTCGCCATTAGCCACATAGGTACTGGAGGCGCTTGAGTCGTATTGACTGTGGTCTTGACATGCTTCGTTACTATCGGGGCAGGTGGATGATGGTACCCACAGATTTGAGGAACCAGTATCGAAGAGCACTAAGAATTCCTGCGCTGGTGTGCCGATGGTGATCTTGCCATAGTAGGACAGATTCAGCTCATTATCCAGCTCTTCGGAAACGCTGCGTGGTCTGGCAACATTGTATTTGGCGCGCAAAAAGTTGGTTTCGGCTTCGACAGAACTGCGAGTCCTCCGATAATTGGGGTTCTTGTAGATTGGGACGCGCACCAAATTGGCCGAGGCCAGGGCGGCGCAAATTGTAAGGAATACCAAGAACTTGAACATTTTTGCTGTAAGTAGGAAATAATTGCTTGTTAGAATATATATAAAATATAAAATTTGTTATTTGCTTACCACTCGGCGTTAGTTGGAATGACGTACAGCACGGGGTAATCATATAAAACCATGCCATAAATTTTCAACTCTAAGGCTTTTATAGTCGCGTTTAGGAGATGCAGTGCGCTGTCATAATGGCTTTGCTTGATTATTACATTTCTTATCAGTTGAAACTAATGAGCCACTCGAAACTTAATGCTGGGAAGAAACTTATTGCTTTTGGTTTATTTATTTTGATTTTGTTTTACGCTGTGAACATGTTGAGGTAACTAATATATATTTCAGTGACATTAAGTGATTCTTAAGTTAATACTATGAACTTTTTTTTGCTTGATAAGTGTCGCGGCTTTTGGTTCGTTGGTGTTGATTGCAGTAATTAGTTATCTAACCATTTTAGTAGCGTCGTAGTGGGGTAGCGGGTGATAAGATGTGCACAAAATAAAATAAATTTGTTTTGTTTTAATGCGCTTCATTGAGTACATATTAACACATTGAATACCGAGCGAATATGATTTGAAATGAAAATTGAACCAAAACGTTTTTCGAATATATGAATCATAAAAAAATTGCATGTAGTGTCGCACGAAAGCGAACGAAAAGGTCAAATTTACCACTCAGGGAGGTACTAGATGCTATACATACCTACCTACTGCCTTCGTCATCCGTATTAAAAATTTAATTTAACTTATGAATTAAACTGAATGTGGCTTTTTTACAGGTGGCAACCCTCTATTAAAATGTTTTCAAAATTATGTTTTCTTAAACGGCTTTCATTTCATATTGTCTTTCGTTTGACATCCATGTTTTAATATTTTGTTCAACGTATTAATTGTATTGAATTTGAATTTTTCACAGGTGGCAACGCTCCACGAAAATACGTTTGCTATATAGCTGCTTAAACCTACTACATTTGTCATCCATATTAAAAAAATTTATTAACCTTATAAATTAAACTGAATTTGACTTTTTTACAGGTGGCAACCCTCTATTGAGATGTTTTTAAAATTATATTTTCTTAAACGACTTTAATTTCACATCCTCCTTTGTTTGGCATTCATATTTTAATATTTTTTTCAACGTAATAATTGAATTGAATTTGACACAGGTGGCGACGCTCCTTAAAAATACTTTTGCTATATAGTTGCTTAAACCTACGGCCTTTTTCGTCTGTATTAAAAAATTTAATTAAACTTATAAATTATAATGAATTTGACTTTTAAACAGGTGGCAACCCTACTAAAATGTTTCAATTGTTCATTTGGTATCCATGTGGTAAGGCTCAACATCACCTAAAGCCCTTATTGTTACAGCGGCATGTTATTCGATGAGATAAAGTCATCTCAGCATATGCGCCTTGATTATCCAATCTACGCTAAATAGCTAAAAGTTTAAATACCTTGGGGCCCAGTTATTGTTCACACCTAGAGGACCTTTTGAAATTCTCTGCTTAACCATTTCGTAGTCAGAACATTCAAACATCTAAGTGCCTTTTTGTTAAAAAATATAAAACAGTTAGGAGTTTAACGGTCAATAACATCTAACGTTAATTCTTACTGCAGGTCTCTGGCAAAAAGTGCCGTGTTTCAAGTAGTTGTTTTTTGCTTTACATTACTTTAACGTAAATATTTATTATGTAAAAGCACTTCCCGAAAACCAAACCGTGACTAAAGGATACAAAATTAAACCAAACAAAAATTATAATTATTTTGCTTACCTAAGGTTTATTCATAGAGAAAAATTTTAATTTCCTACACGAAAATGTATGCGCAATTAGGCGACAGGTGCGAAACCAATACGATTTTTGCCGATATCGAACACAGTGTAGTAGAGACCAATAAAGATATCACCCAAGATCCAGTAATCAGTTCCAATATAACTGATAGCAGAGTAGCAATAACCGTTCTCCTCAAGAATGTACTGCGACACTGGCAGGGGGAAAGTTTTACCGCCTATAAGGAATTCTATGTCACCCAGAGAGCCGATGAGCGCGCAATCGACCAGACCCTTGTTGTTGGGTCTAACAATGCTAGCAAATTTTTTGTAGGCACCTAGGGGAGCAATAATTTGCGAGGTACCTGTATCGGCGATGGCCTGGCAACCGTAACCGCAAAGGCTTTTGCCAGCAAGGGTGACTCCACCTAAACTGAATTGCCAATAGCCCTGCTTAGAGACTGGCACGTAGGTGAGTGATCCGTGGTAGTAGCTGGAATCGGAGCCGCCTAAGATCATTTTACCACCTTGGGTTGAGCTGCTGTTGCGTGCCAAGTAGAAAGAGAATACATTCTTGCTCACCAGACCTTGTG